AGTTTCACCAACACCACCAGCTCTCCACACACCCCTAGAAGAGGCCACCACAACGGGACAAAGCAGAAGGGCTGGTTCAACTGCTGGGTTGCACAGAGGCAGCACCTGGGGTTTTATTCTCCATGTGTTTAGCATCAGGGCTGCTCAACAGCTCGTGATGGCCAAGGCAGTGCTGGGGCTCCGGGAGAGGCGGGGAGCACGTCTCAAGCACAGACTTGGAGCAGAGCAGGCCAGCACCTTCATAGGCTGGGAATTCTCCCAAAGCGGGGTTTGGGAAGCCAAGGAGCCCTTTGCAGACATCCCAGGGGCTTTAATGCTTCCAGGGGCGTCAGCAGAAAGTGCACAGTGGGTTCGTTTTTCCAAGAGAGAAATAAATGTGTGTGGAAGTAGAGGCCAGGCAGCCCAGCTCTGCCTCTGAGAATGGCAGGGGTGGCAGAGCCAGGGAARAAGATAATCTAATCAATGCACATCTCACTGAGGATATAGAAAACAGATTTGTCAGACTAATTTGACCTCCTTTTTTGAGATTACAAGTTTAACTGGGAGAGAAAGAGAAAGACTGTTGATGTCTATAAATAGCCAGATAGAAGTGCATGATATTTTGATTAAGAAAGCAGGGTAAAGAAATCTCACCAGGATACACTAAAGGGATTAAAACCAGGCTCAGAGCTTTCTAAATATAGAGCTGAAAATGGGGAATCATTTTGTGGGGTGTTTTGACTATGCTCCCATTTCAACCGTGCTCCCACAGGGTGCCTACCCTAACATTTCTATCAAAGACTTGGAAGAAAACCCARACTCATGATCAATGGCTTGCAGATGACACCAAGTTCAGGGAAATGGAAAATAAAAAGAGAACAGCTCCCTGGCAGAGAGAAATCTGGATCCACAAGCGAGCAGACAGCAAGAAAACAACATGCATTTCAGTGCAGCCAGATGTCACGCTGCACATCGAGGAAACCAAGACCCTCTGGGCTTGAGATGAGTCTTTCCTGGCAGACAGGGACTCTGGAGAAGATGGGAGAGCAGAAGGAAAGCTCTGGGAATGTGATCCTTGGGGGTGGTGTAAGGGTCAGTGAGGCAGCAAGGGTGATGGTGTAGCCCCATAGAGCCCAACTGTGGTGCCAGGGTCCACAGCCTGCAGCATCTATCGTGGCACCTGAAAAACTGGAGAGGGTTCAGGGCAGGGATGCAGAAATGGTCAGGAAATGCTGTGCCGTGGGGTGAAGGCTTTGAGGGTGCCCCTTCAAARCCAAAGGATTGATTGCTGAGAGGTTATCAGAAACCTGTGCTCAAAGGCCTCCACTAATGGGGGGCTTCATGAGCCTTCATGAGGGGGGCTTCATGAGCCTGCTCCAGGGCTTTCCCAGCTGGCCCCAATTGACATCCTTGCTAGGCTCAGTTTGGTCTTCCCAGGGGGAATCCCAGCACCAGGCTCCCTGTCCTGCCCCAGGGCTCCTGCCCCTCTCCAGCRGTGCTGGGGTAGTGGGCACCTAGCCCTAATGGGGCCCATCACAGCCCGTAAAGCCAACACTGGGGATCCAATCCCACCCTTGTTTTGGGGGCCTGGGCTGYCCTTCCCTGCTGCATCCCATGGCCTGTGGTGCCTCCCCCAGCACTGTTCACCAAGGGGAGCCCAACAGAGTTAGGCGTGGATAGAGCAAGGTGGCCAGAGCCTTAGCAAGGCCACATTCGTCTCTTCAGACACCTGCACCAAGCCCTTATCCTTGAGGACACCTACAGTCCTCAACAACAGGCAAGTCCCTGCCCCACTTCAGAAGACACCTCTTCAGCTCTGCCGCTTCCCAGCCTCTATCCCAGGACAGACTCCAAAAAAAGCCACCAGCATCTTGCAGCATCCCCCAGACTGTCATGCCCTCCCACATCACACATATACACCCCTCTCCCTGGAGTTTCAGCCCCAAAATGCTGCTCACTGTCCCCCAGAACTCCTCTAATACCATCTACCCCGCTCAACCTCCACACTGGGCAGCAATGGGGCAGGAGGGCACCCCTTTTCCCACAGCTGGGGCACCCACGAGCCCAGAGCAAGCTAGAAGATGGGACACACTTGAGCCACACACCTGACCAGCCCCGGGCACCTTCCGAGTCCATGGGCCCCAGAGCCCTTCACATGGTGCCAACACACAGGCAGAGATTCCCGCAGCCCGGCCGCTCCACACGAGCTCACAGGCTTCCCGGGAGCAGCTCAGGGGTATCGCTTACAAGGGAAATGTCCCCGGGGCCCCAAAATAGCCCTGCAGGTGCTGCCAAGCCACCCAGCCCGCGAGCTCGGCCTGCTGCCATYTATGCGTGGCCTGAAGCGCGGATGACTTTACGAGCAGTTCGGTCACTCTTGGATGGAGGTTTCTGCACCCCGGGAAGCCCCGTGCTCCTCGTCACGGGCAGCTGGCATTGGTGTGGGGTGGGCAGTGCTGTCTCTGCTGGGTGCCCTGGGAACGGCACCGCTTGCCACCAAGGCGGAGGGAGATGGTCATCGGGCAGGTAGGGACATGGGGACAGGGAGACACCAACAGAACAGAGCCTTCGGAGTGTTTCTCCAAGCACCACTCTCCACAAGAGCCATCTCTTCCCCAGCACTGCCCGACTCCTTCACCTGGTGCCACGGAGGACTCCGCTGGCCCCACCACGCTGGTGGGACATTCCCAGCCAGCCTGGCATCAGCTACACACAGGTCTCCATGGGAGCCAACATCTCCCCGGGGTGAAACTGCCAAGGGCAGCAGCTGGGAGCTGCTCTCCCACCAGCTCCCCCATCCCCTCTGGGCCAGCCCTTTGGAGCCCCCCTTGGCCCTGCTCCAGCAAAGGGAAGGATGAGGGCACTGCCTCTGTCTGGGGGCACAGAGGAAAYGCTGAGCACCTCAGTGGATGGGACCGGAGCAGGGACCCATCCTGTCCCATGCCAGCCTGGCATGCTCCTGAGCACGGACGGAGCCGCAACGAGCCCCTTCCCACAGGGATGGGCCAGTGGTCACTGCAGGGGAGCTGTGGCTCCCACCTCACAGCAGAYGGGCACCCTGGCTCCCATCTGTACCCTGCCATGGGCACTGGTTTGGGGCAGCCCCACACTGGGGCTTCCCGGCGCTGCCTGCGCTGCTGGGCAGATGCCAGCAGCTCAGCAAGCCCCATCCACGTGGGCCATTCACCSTCTTGGCATGGGCTGAATGAACATGTGCATGGCTCCTCACCACACAGCCCTGGAGATCCAAGCCTCCACCCAGAGCCAAGGGAAGCCCCGAAGACCTAAGACCTGGATCAGGTTGCCTGGAGAGGCTGTGGAGTCTCCTTCCTTGGAGACACTCAAAAGCCATCTGGACACAGTCCTGGACAAGACGCTATTTGAGCGGAGGCAAGGCAGGGCTTAACTAGGTGATCCCCAAAGGTTCCTTTATCTAACCACAAGTGTCCCTGCCCCACATCAAGGGAAGAGGAAAAACAAGTACCCCGATCCTCAGTTTGCCCGCCTCCTTCCTGGAGGGACTGGATCCGTGAGGATTTGGAGCCACAGGGAGGGCAGAGGAGAACAGAAGCCCACAGCACGAGGCAGCCCCCGGCACAACCCAGCCGCGCTCAAGCTTGCTCCCAAGGCAGCTGCGGCAGCGCTGCCATTTCAGCTCGGTAACTCTACGCTCTCAGACTCACCCGCTGCAGAGAGGCTGAGCAACTTTATCCCCGAGGTCCCCCTCTTCATGCCAAGAACGGAACGGGATCAGTAACTCAATCATTTCCCTGCACGCTGGAGGAGCCACCCCAAATCTTCCTCATGCCACCATGAAATGACCCACCAAAATCAAGCTGCAACCAGAACTACCCACCTCCTGCACTGCTTTTAAGTGGGAACAAATCCACACCTGGAAAACCCAGGTGTGGGGAAACGGGAACCACCTGGAAGAGTTTGATTCTGCTAGGAGAAACCCCAGAGGCAGCTCCTGCAGATGAAGGCGAGCCTGCGAGCCCTGCTCGTGCCGAGGGAAGGAAGGCCCCGTCCCAAGGCGCTGCCCGCTGCTCCCGGAGCAGCCACGTGCTGACATCCCGCTTCGTGCCGGCTCGAGGACCAGGGCGAGCCGAGGAAGGCCCCGTGAGGAGGCAGCAGCTCTGCCCGTGGCTCCTGGAGGGCCCCTCGGCCGCCAACCCCGTGGCGTCGCCGCCCTTTTCCCGTCCCTGTGCCCACCCGGCACCCAGGCTGGAAGGTCCCCACTGCCGGCGGGACCCCCTGATCCCCCCAGAACCCCTTGGATTGGCGAGAACGACCAAAGTTGCCCTTAAAAGGCCGCGGCGCCGGGGGCCGGCGGCTGCGAGAAGGCGGCAGCTGCGGGCGCCCCCGCGCCAGGCGCGGCGCCGCGGGCCCGGCCGCGCGCGGCTCCCCTTACAGGGGCTGTTTCCATTCTTAGCCTCCTCCCGCGGCCCGGCCCGCGGCGCCCCGGCCGAGCGGGACCAAATTAACTCAAGGGCGAGCAAGGGTAAGGGCGATGCCGCCGCGGCTGCGGCCCGGCGCTGCCTGCGGGTGCTCGGCGGGGCTGGCCGGGGAAGGGGTCTGGCTGGTCACGGGGTGTCACCTGAAACGCCCGTGTGCCTTTGCTGGACCCTCCGCCCTGGCCGAACGGCCCCTCGCCCCGCTCGGAGCTGTGACACCGGGACAGGCGACGGCCGCTCTGCGGCTCCCGCTCTGCTGCCGGACCCCCCGCACCCCGGCAGCGCCCGGGGCTCCGACCCGCCACCTGCACCCGAAATCCAAGCCGGGACAGGTGGCACCAGCCCCGCCACGGCCCCCACACCAGCCCCAGTGGGGCAGCCCCCCAGCAGGGACCCCGGCGTCCCCCCGGCTCACGCCCCGTCCCCGTGGCCGCGGGTCCCCGTGTCCCCACGCTCCCCTGCCGGGCAGCCCCATGCAACCGCGGGGGGCTCCGTGTGGCGGGACCCCCGTCCCGCCTGGCCCCCCGCCAGCCCRGGCACGGCGGTGGCACCGCGCGGGCCGCTCACCTGCGGTGCCGAGCAGCAGCAGCAGCGAGGCCGCGCAGCAGTACAGCACGCCGAGCCCCTTCATGGTGCCTGCCAGGAGCTCTCTGCCGCCCCGCGCCGCTATTTATACGGCGGCAGGGAGCAGGGCAGGGCGCGCGGCCGCGCACACGCTGCCGCCCGGCGCCCCCGCCAGCACAGCGAGCACCACGGCCGGGAGCCCGCCCGGCACSGGCGCCCGCGGTGGCACCGGCACCCGGGAGCCCCTGGCACCGCGGGGCAGACGGATCCCACGTGCGGAGGGCACAGCCTGGGTGCTGCACCAGGGCAGGGCGCCGGAACGGACCAGGAGGGACCCACAACCGTGGGGAGGGCTGAGAGGGCTGGTGGCCCCATGGGGAACCTGGGGACACACGGGTGCCCCGTGGGGAGACACAGATGCCCCATGGGGAGAGCTGTGCCACCACAGGGGGGCACAGGGAGAGGTGGGGGCTCGGGGGGGCCATGGGGAGACTCGAGTGTCCCACAGAAAGCCCTGGTGACTCCCATGGGAGGGATGGGCACCCTCCACCCTGAGCCACGGGGAGAGATGGACACCATGGCGTTGTGGGGAGAGATGGGTGCCCTCCTGCCGAACTATGGGGAGATCCTGCAGCCCTGGGGAGGGCTGTGACGAGAGGTGCCACGTGAAGCAGCGGGTGCCCCCATCCCAAGGCATGGGGAGAGATGGGTGCTCCATGGAGAGCCATGGCAAGAAGCGTTGCCATCATTCCCTGCCACGAGCCATGGGGTGCCCCACAAGCCCCTCCACGAAACCCGCAGCACGAGGGCGCTCCGTAGCCGGGATCCCCGCTCCAGCCGCTCCGCAACCAGCACCGCAGAGGCACCCGAGTCCCAGCAAGCTCATGGCACGTGTGGGCAACACCAGCCTCTGCAAGAGGCCCCCCCAGAGCACCAAAGAGGGGCCTCGGCAGCCGCCTCCCGTCCCCACAGACGCCACGGCCAGGCACAGAGTCTAAAAAACAAAGTACAAACTTTATTTTGTTTCTTTACAAAGGCACGAGCCTCTTTTTTTTTTCACTTTCTTAACAAAATATAATAGCTTCT